GTTGAGATGTCCTATTGGCGATTGAGCTTTTATATGGTGAAAAGTAGCCTTAGGAAATATACAGAGGAACCAAATGATAAACAATACCAGAACATAAGAGGAATTAATTCAATCAATTGATTATCAATCTAACAGCAAATAAATATCGCTAAGGACTTAGCAAACAAAAAATATAAATACTTTCACAAATTCACAACCTATTTAATAATCTACACCCAAACCTGACCTCTTAAAATCAAATATTCCTAAGCAAATATAAGTTCCTAAGATGCAATGTCTATCATATCATTACATGAATTAGAATAAGCCATCATTTCTTACCATGATGATAGAAAAGAAACAAAAATACGATAGCTTGTGTACCTTAGCTTAGTTACTAGCTTACTGAAATTCTCTCTTAAGGATGAAACTCTGTACTACTACTCTAACTAAAACCTTAAATATTCTGGTAAGTATAGGTTCATAATCATTTACAAATTACTGCAAGAATGCTATTTCTTTTAACTCAATAGTACACTAATTTATAGATTATTCATAATTACTGCTCTAGCAAACCTCGCACTCATGACATGGACCTTTAACACGGAAAAGAATAAGTCTTGGCAGTAGATAGATTTTGCAATCAGAAAGATATCTCAGTGGTACTCTATATATTTATATTCCTTATCTAAGTACTTAACAAATTTCAATCTAATATATGAATAGCCGAGGGCCTGTTTTACACCATTTGAAGGTCATTCTTAAAGTAACAAAGGGAGTCCATGCTTATTAAAGGATCTAAAAATCTTTGTCCATGCTACATACATCGTTTCATATAGAACACGAATCCCATGTACTAGAATATTAACCTCGGCAACTATATGAGTTTCTTTCCCAAAAATTTGTTTATAACATAGGAGAAATTTAGATATAAGAGATAAGCAGCCGAAACAAACTTCCTAAATCAGGATTTTCTACATCCAAATAATAACATGACTTTTACCAAATTAATGTACACAGAATCTATTATAAATTAATCGACAAGAATCAATCCAAAATCTACTGTAAATCGATTGCAAGCGACTGATTTAATAGGGGAAAAAGAGAAGTTAACAGGGGAAGAAGATGGACGAGCACTACGGCAGGCTGTTGAACAGTGAGTTAGGAACTGATTTACTGTAAATCATCGACCAGCATCAATACAAAATCTACTATAAATCGATTGGAAGAAGAGAATTTAATTTACTGTAAATCGATTCTACTATAAATATCAAAGAGATGAGAATTTACCTGGGAAAAAGATGGGTAGCCGTTGACGCACTCGCACTGTCGTTGACACACTGTAAATCACACTGCTATTGACGCAGCAGCGAGTTAGGTTTTTCCGGCAGCGAAGTCGATTCAAGAGGGAAATCGATTCTACTGTAGATCGATTGTAAATCGAAGAGAAGAGAATTTACCTGGGAAAAAGATGGGCTGCCATTGACGCACTCGCACTGCCGTTGACGCAGCAGCCAGTTAGGTTTTTTCAGCAGTGAGTTAGGATTGTTTTATTGTTTTTCGTTCAACTGGGGAGTGAGGTTTTTTGTTCTGTTGTTTTCTAATTGGGGAGGGAAACATAAAAGGTATCCAAAAAAATTGGAGGGAAAGATTTTTGTTTTTTCGTGCGGATAGTTAAAATAATAAAAGATTAATTTTAATTAGTAATTTTTAGTGGCTATTATTTTTTATTGCCGGTAAAAGGATATCTTTTACTGGGTAATGGTCATATGCCACTAATATTTAAGCTTAAAGAATTTATTAGCGACCATTGCGTTATTGCCGCCAAATAATTACCGCCAAAGGCCTTTATTGTAATGGTGAAGACTTCCACTAAGAAGTCTACTCCTATGTCAAAGTCTGCTGAACCATCCACCCGTTCAAAAAGGACCAGGTCTGCAGTGAAAACCAAACAAGTAAAAATTGCTGAAGAAGAGGAATGGAGTGGAGAAGAGGAAGATGAACCAGACAGTGAAAAGGACAAGCTGACCAAGTTTGGCAAAAGAACTATTCTGAAGGGTAGACTCAGGGATTTGGAGGAGGAAGGAATGGTGTTGTTGTTGGAGAAATTGGAACTGCAAGGCTGGAAGGACACGGTCCTTCAGATGGATAGCAGGTTGGCCAGGAGTGAAATTGTTGAATTTATGGCAAATGCTGTAGTGAAGGATGAACGGGTTACCAGCTTGGTGACAGGGGTGCAAATCTCTTTCAATGTGAAGGAGTTGGGTGAAATTCTAGGTGTACCTGCTGAGGGGTACAATGACTACACAAAACTTAAGTGGCCAAGCCTAAAAACAATTCCTACTGCCCTTGCCATTACTAGAAAGTTCAGTGACAATGAAGAGAACTGGAGCCCTAGGCTGTGTACAAGAGTGACATGAAGCCATCCCACAAATGCATTATGCCAAGGCAGGAAAGGAGGCACATTGTAAACTTCATGGACTCGGTACTGATAGAGTGTTTGGATAGTGGGAATCAGATTAATTGGCCTGGATTTATAATCAAGCTTCTTGATAGGGTTATCAATGGCACTAAGTCTCATGTCATTCCCTATGGTTTTATTCTCACAGCTGTGCTCGCAAATTTTAAGGTGGCTTTGAAGAAGTGGGAGGTGGCTACAAGCAAAGATCACTTTGGGGCGAAAACTCTGATTGCTTATGACTATGAGGTTCTTGCCACTCCTAATGAACCTGGTTAATCCAAGAAGGCACCAGTCAATAGCAAGGTCAGAGTCTTGGTGCAGGAGAGTGGGGCAAAGGATGCTGAGATAGCAAGGCGAAGACACGGTTGTCTGAGGTAGAGTCTAAGAGAGATGCTCTCAGAACTGAACTAGCAAGGGAAAAGAAGAAGAATGATGGAATTCTTCAAGACATGCTGAAACTTCTCTAAGCAAAAAACTCAGCCCCTAGTTCTTCCAAGCCTTAATCCTCCTAGCCTAATATAGTTCCTTCAGTGACCCAGTTTGGGATGTTTTTGTTTGTCTCATGTTTTCTGTATTTTTATTTCCTTTTATGCTTTGTGGAAGAGTCATATCTAGTATCAATAAAATCTGCTGGTTTTTGCTCTAACTGTTTTTTTATATTTCTTTGATGGTTAGAATTCTTAGCTTGATCGATGATAATTAATCCATGATTGCATTTAGGATAGCCCCATTAGCCATGAGTAAGTTTAAAATTCTGGGTATTGTACATTTTTTATGCGACTTTTTGATGATGCCAAAAAGGAGAAATATTGTGCTTTATACTTTGAATAAGTGATGTTTATAACCTAATGAACCTGGTCCTTGATGATAAGTGATAAGAAGGACAACTGTTTCTAACATTTTGATTGATGTTGAGCTAAGTTGAAATAGGGCCTAAGCTTATGAAAAACACAGAGTTTGTCATTATCAAAAAGGGGGAATTTGTTGGCCCAAGTGAAGGTTAGTTTTGAAGATTGACAAAGGAAGCTCATGCATGAACCAAGTCCATCCCTTAGGTGCATAGAAACGGGTAGATTTGAGCATGTGGGATGCACGTGAAAGAGATAAGCTTAACTTGATAGATTTGATATCTCATGATCGATAAGGTTGTATAATTGATAAGGAGAAGGACTCATTACTCATATCCAATATAGGGAAGGAGTTAGAAGTTGAGATCATCTAGAACTCTTCCACCAAGGAATAGTAGCATTAGAACTCTAGTTATTTCTTCATCTACTAACTATATATATATTGCAGGATGTTCTCATTTTACAGGCATGCATAAATGCAGAAGTTAAACAGGAATTGAGAACAAAATAACAAGGCATTTTGCAAGCAGTTCGTGTGATTCAAGTGTGCAAACCTGAAGCTACGTGAACCAGATAGAAGAACCAGTTCCAAGTGTATGTCTTTTATTCTAGTTCAGTTGTAGTATGTATTTTCATATTGTACCTTTCAGTTTTATCTAGAGGCAATTGTAATAGGTACTCGAAGAATTCAAGTTAGAGTTAACTTGAAGTTGTCGCAACAGTTAGATGTTGTTTGCTACAACGGGATTAGAGTTAATCCTAGGTTTTCAAAAGTATTTTGTAAATACAATTTTTTGGCTCAGTGATTTAGTGGAGAGTTTGGGAAAATCCTACTGGAAAGTAGGTCGTGGTTTTTTCACCTTTTGAGCCAGGTGTTTTCCACGTAAAATACTTGTGTTTTTTACTTTCCGCATTTACTATTTCAGCAATAGTAGGTTAAGGAACACTTAGAAGAACTAGGTCCTTCCATAATCAGTTTAAGCAAAAAATTGGACTTCACACAAATCATCCCCTTCCCCCCCCCCCCCCCCCCTCTTGTGTGGTAATAAAGTATAAAACCTAACTCTGATTCCTCCGAGGGCAGGTGTCTTTCCCGGACCCCGACTCGAGGGGCTCCTTGCCCCGATTCTGGTTCCTTACAGTCACATCTATGCTCCATTTACCTCATCGTGAACCGAGGCATCCAAAGGGCTCGGTTTCACCCGTATACAGATATTTTACTTATGGATTTCGGTGTAACTTTGCCGAAAAAATATATTTAAGCCTTGTACAGTTGTAAGTTCAATCTTTGGTTTTCTTTGCTTGATCGCCAAATTCTTGTGTTACAGAAAACAGAGGTCCAACCTGGAGATCTAATGGCGTTTGTTGCAAACCCGAAAAGGATTCCCAACCAAGTTTAGTTGAAAAGAAAGTTCGACAAAGAATTGAAGTCTTTTTTTTTTTTTTTTGAAAAAAAAAGAAACAGTTTTTGAAAACAAACGTCTAAGGTTTTAAACTCTTGTTTATTGTTCCATTGGAATTTGGATCAGAAGTGCAACTTTAGGTGGTGATTTGTTCCAAAAACAAGGCGAATTTTTCGGCCGCACTCTCTTTTTCAAATTTTGAACAACTAACGCCGCTGCAATCAAGATTACAAGGTCAAGTACAAAATTTTGATATCTAAATTGTACGAGTAATAGGGAGGAAAGCATTGACCGGAATGCAGAACTAGCTACTTCAAAAAAGTGGATTCATGAGATTAACTATATTTACAGAGATTAATCAAGATATCATATCCGGAATATTATAAGAAGAAACTAAACTCGTGTGCATTATTAATTCCAAATTCCAATCAATCAGAGCTGAAGCTCATGCCACGATCCACAAACAGAGAGTACTATACATAAAGATGATTAATGAGTGACAACGCATTGCTGGACAGTTTAATAATAACTGACATGCTTCTATTTATGATGTCCTTCACATCTGGATTTACCTTCCGTTCGGAGAAACCATCAGTGCATGAATCTGCGTCTGTTATTACAGCACTTGCATATGTCTTGGCATTAGCCAACTGAAATTCTTTATCTTCATCACCCAAATGTCCCATTGCTTCAACAGCCAGCTTGAGTTCGTACACTGCATCCTTGACATCTTCCATGCAGTCTTTAATAGCAGTTATTCCCTTCTGTTCTTTCTGTCTCGAGACAATAACAGAGGCGTCGCGTGCGCCTTTTATGGCTACATTAAGGGCTTGTATGCACAGCTTTGTGGAGTTGCTTTTCACTGATGAGGCATAGGGTATTAGTGTTTTCTGGCAAAGTGAAGGATATGTGGTGATGTTGCATTTGGTCTTGACGAAGTTTGTGTAGGCTGTGTTAGAGTCTTTGGCTGCTGTAACTGCTGGCTGTGTTAGCGAGATGAATAAAACAATTGTCAACAGGGTCAACATCAAGCTTTTGCAAGCAGAGTACGCCTCCATTTCTCCTGCTATAGTGTTAACTAGCTATTGTATATATCTAGGAGGTTGGGAAATGATGTGTAGTTGAATATGTTATTGGGAACAGAGAGAAGATCATGTGAATGTATTTATAGAGATCTAATTGGCTGCCTGCAGGGAGGATTTCTCTTAATGGTTCAAATCTGATTATATTATGAAATAACAATAAAATGGTTGTAATCATTAAGCTGCACACAAATGAGTTGTGAATGTGCGGATCAACTTATCTCTCGCCGTCACCAACGGCAACAGTCACATGGAAATTCAAAGATTGAAAGTTTGTAAGCAAAGTCAAATTATTGCAAGGTCAACTTATCAAAGGGTGAGGAGGCGGATGTATGCCTTTCAATATACGTACGTATATATAACACATTTAACACCTAGACGTCTTGTAACTAGAAAGCTTACGTTTTATGAAACTTATTTGTGTGGATTTTTTGAATGTCATAGTGATTTGAATATTTCATTTCACTCAATATCTGGAGGGGATTAACAATACTTCTGTTGTTCAATAGTAAAAAAGAAAAAGAAAAAGTGTCCCTCCCTAATTGAGTGGCAACCAAGTTTGAGTGTATGGCAAGTATTGGGCGATGTGCACAAATAGCCACTAACAGCTCTTGTCTTTATTTTAAAGCCAGTGTTTTAAATGTCTTTAGTCTTTAGCCACTGGTTTAATAAACTTTAACTGCCCGGACGAAAATATCCTTCTGCTCATGTCCTTAACTTCAGGACTTCAGGACTACATGTCCTTAACTTTTGAACTTAAAACTCTAAGTTTAGGACTTCAAGACTACATGTCCTTAACTTTTTAACCTGTAACTCTAAGTTCAGGACTACATGTCCTTAACTTTTGAACTTGGAACTCTAAGTTCAGGACTTCAAGGCTACATGTCCTTAACTTTTGAACTTGGAACTCAAACTTCAAGACCAAGCGTCCTTAACTTTTGAACTTGTAAGTCAAAGTTAAGGACCTATTGTCCTTAACTTTTGAACTTGTAACTATAAGTTAAGTATTGCTTGTCCTTAACTTTTGAACGTGTAACTGTAAGTTAAGGACTGTCTGTCCTTAACTTTTGAACTTGGAAATCAAAGTTAAGGATCTATTGTCCTTAACTTTTGAACTTGTAACTGTAAGTTAAGGACTGCTTGTCCTTAACTTTTGAACGTGTAACTGTAAGTTAAGGACTGTCTGTCCTTAACTTTTGAACTTGGAAATCAAAGTTAAGGACCTATTGTCCTTAACTTTTGAACTTGTAACTGTAAGTTCAGGACCTATTGTCCTTAACTTTTGAGCTTGTTAGTCTAAGTTCATGACCAAGTGTCCTTAACTTTTGAACTTGTAATTCTAACTTCACGACCAAGTGTCCTTAACTTTTGAACTTGGAACTTTAAGTTAAGGACCAATTGTCCTTTATACATCCAAGATGTGTGTATCTTCCTAGATGATGGTAGTGGGTGGTAACAGAATGATATTAAAATTAATAGCCACTACCATCATGGTAGATGATGGTAGTGGAGCGTACATCATCCATCCCTAAGGGTTTGGGAAGAAAAGCAAGGGAAGAAAGGGTAAAAATATCTTTTCATATTAATTTTAATAGGGTAGTGGCTATTTTTGCTCAACATTAGAATTGCTGGATAAAAACTAAATACCACCTTAAATAGTGGCTACCCCATGCCATTTCTACGCAAGTATGCACTAGGCATACGAGGTTGATAGCCCAATGGTTGCTTTGCGCTGAGTTATATCCTGTTTGGCCAAAGCTTTTTTTGTGGGGGTTTTGACACAGTTACCCACAAAAATAAAACTATTATCCTTGTCTACCCATTTATTTTCCTACCCATAAACTAATTACATTTCCTACCCATAGTAGATTTTGTGAGAAATTTTTTCTTTATTCTCCAATTCTTTTTTATTTCTATGCTTCTTTTCTTTTCTTTTTTCTTTTTTTTCTTTTCTCCTTTTTTTTTCTCGTTTTCTTCTTTTTTTTTTCTTTTTTCCTTTTCTAATTTTATTTAACTTTTGTTTTTTTATATTCTTTTTCTCTTCATAATCTAATTTCATTTACTGTTTTCACTATTTTTTTATTATTCTTTTTTTTTATATTATTCTAAAGAAAAATCAAATTGTGTACCAATTAAATGTAGTTAATACAACCAAAAAAATATTAACTAACATATGATACCGGTATAGTATATAGCTATACCAACAGGGTATACAATTGTACGCAAAGAGTTAAAAAAATTTAATTCAATTACTAAACTGAAATAATATCAGTTATCAAAAAAAATTAAAATTCTAAAAGGACCTAATTGTAAGAGTATACCATTACATCATATAGCATACTATAATTTATTTTTATTTTTTATTTTTGTATTTTCAGTTTGCCCCTACGCTTGAGTAAAAGCTTAAAACAAATTAAAAGGGAAAAGACAAGTGAATTTACGGGCAATAAGTATACTATTATAGTATATTATATACTATTGCATCATATTGTTACAGTATCTTGCATATTATTACAGTATACCATAACAATATATTGTATACTATAATAGTATATTGTTGCAGTATAACTATATACTCCTATAGTATATTAGTATACTGTAGCGGTATACTGTTTGTAAACTATAATAGTATAGTGTTGCAGTATAGCTATATACCCCTACAGCATATTGTATACCGTAGCGGTATATTGTAGCTGTGTTCTTCTTCGATTTTCAACTGAAAATTTCGATCTCAATCAGCTCCAAACGCTATCAAATTTCAGTATGAAATTCCAGAAGGTACTATGTCACGACCCTAGTTCACCAACCGTGAACATGTCATGACGGCACCTGGTCCCCATGACCAGGTAAGCCTAACATTTGCGGAAATATAATAATTGCGGAAAAATAGAGAAAATCAAATCAAATATCTAAAGGAAACTGTACTGAATGCCGCTTGGCAAGTACAACTCAATATCACAAGTCTAAAACAGTTCCCAGAACCCGGAAACTCACGGGCAACACAGGCTACAGAAGTGTATAGTAAAGGTTCCAAACTCCAGAAATTTCTAACAACCGAAGAAGGAAAACTAAGTACTAAAGATAGAGTAAGAAGGAGACTCGTCGGTCTGCGGACGTAGCAGATCTATCTCGAAGTCTCCGTAGTCCTCCTGCCTCACTGATAGTGCGCCTGAGCGGAGGTACCTGGATGATCTGCACATGAAAAACATGCGCAGGAAGGGCATGAGGACACCACAGCGGTACTCAGTAAGTGCCAAGCCTAACCTCGGTTGGGTAGTGACGAGGAAGGTCAGGGCCCTACTGAGACAAAATATAATAATAATAATAATAATAATAATAATAATAATAATTTAACAATATAAAAAATCTGACAGATTTTCTGCAACATTTTCCAACTCCAAAGTGCTCCGTTGAGCACCCGAAACACACCCGAGGCCCCCGGGACCTCAACCAAACCTACGGACATATCCCATAACATCATTAAAACTTGTACCAATCCTTAAACCACCTAAAATAACGCCGGAAACACGAATTAATCAAGGATTCAAGCCTAAGAACTTCAAATTCCAACAAAACACGCTTTCGATCAAAAACCTAACCAAACCTCGCCCGAATGACCTGAAATTTTGCACACACATCCCAATAACATGACGGAGCTACTGCAACTTTCGGAATTCCAATCCGACCCTCGGATCAAAAACTCACTATCGGACCGGAAACTTCAAAAATTCAAACTTCGGCATTTCAAGCCTAAATGAGCTACGAGCCTCCAAAATACATTCCGAACACGCTCCCAACCCCGAAATCACCTAACGGAGATCGAATTTCCATTCCGAGGTCGTCTTCACACTGTCCCGATTACGGACCATTTTTCAACTCTTAAGCTCTCATTTAGGGACTAAGTGTCCCAAAACACTCCGAATCCCAACACCGATCGTCCCGGCAAGCCAAAATAGCAGAAATGAACTTAGGGGAAGCAGTTAATGGGGGATCGGGGCGTAAATTCCAAAAACGACCGTCCGGTTCGTTACATACTATAAGCAATATTTAACAGCACCCACTTTGAATCAAACAAGAAATCTTCAAAAATAAAATTGAGCTTCAAGCCCAACAACGGTAGGACCACCCCGAACTGGTTCTTCGGTACAAAAAATGTCAGGGTCTTGCTTCTCTGTTGCTACTACAGCATCTACTTCTTCTACTTCTTCACTGTATCTCTTCACTCAAAAGCCTAAATTCTCAGTAGATCATCTTTCCTTAAGTACTTATAATACTTACTTCAACTTCAAGATAAACTCAACAAAACTCAAAGCCCATTTCCCCATTTCTTCTCTTTATCTCTCTTCAGTCTTTTTGAGCACTTGTGCTTCTGTGTCTGATGGAGTTGAGGTTGTCCAAAATGATGACGAAGAAGAAGTTGCATTGTCAGCCGAAGAAGAAGAGGAAATTGAAGAAAAAGAAGAAGGTGTTGAGTTAGAATCAGTTGACGGTGGTAGATTGTACGTAAAATGAGGAAGAAGAAGTGCGGGTAAATAGTTTGGGGGCCATGGGTAGGAGCAGTAAATAGTTTGGGCATAGGCATTAAAAGGTAAATAGTTTGGAATTAATGGGTATAAGTATTTTTGTTTTGTTTTGTTAAAAGTGCTTTTTTTTCAAAGTTAAGGTGTTTGACCAAGCTTTTTGAAAAGGAAAAAAAAATGCTTTTGAATAGAACTAGAAAGAGTCGCTTCTCCCCATAAGCACTTTTTGAAAAAATACATGTAGAAGCACTTTTTAAAAGCTTGGTCAAACACTAATTACTGCTCAAAAGTATTTTTCAAATTGATTAGCCAAACACAAACTGATTTTGACCGAAAGTACTTTTTTGAAAAGACTTTTGAAAAAAAATAATTCCCAAAATAAGCAAATTTTAGAAGCTTGGCCAAGTAGGCTATTAGACATGCCTTACGTTAGGACGAATCTTGAAATAAGTACCAACTTAATTTACTTTGAACACAAGGGCGGATCCACCTTGCGTTAAGCAGCGGTGTCATCTTGACACCTCTTCCTTAGAAAATTTATTAAGTATACATGTGTAAATAATATATGTGAAAATAAATATGAATTAAGTCAAATAAAATGACTTCGTCTGCAGAGGCAGATGTAGCCATAG